ACAGGTTACCCACCTGTAATTGTAGTTCTTTGAATGGACCTCTGTGATTCATACCCTGGGTGATCCGCGTCTGCGCAGAGCCTCATCGGAAGATTCTAGAGCTTCTGCAGTAGCAATAAACACATTAGAATAAGCCCCTCCCCCTTGTATATGTACCTTGGTGCCAAGCGTCCCCTTTCAGTTATGTCAACCGCTGCTTAAGAGTAAGCAAAATGGTGTGACAGAGGGGAGGACGGGTGGGATGTGTGAATCACAGAGGTCCACTCGAAAAATTACAATTACAGGTGGGTAACCTGTCCTTCTTCGTGGCCTCTGTGAATCACATCCTGGGTGATTAATAAGTTGTTTTACCCGGAGGCAGAGTGTCATGTGGTGTTGTCAGTGGCACTCTGTATCATTTTGCGTACAAGAAGGTTCCCGAAAGCTCTGCTGGCTTTTATGACCGCCAATAGGTCCAATTTCTTTATGTGGAGCAATTTCTCTCTGTGAGACCATTTGGCGTGAATCTTGAGGGATGTGCAATGAGCTCCCCAGCCCGTGCTGCTGGCGTCGGTAGTGACTTGTATTCGCAGACGCGGTTGTTGAAACACTCACCGACAGGTTGGGAGAAAAATGCCACCATTGAGGTTGGGGGGTGAGCTCTGGAATAACCCTTAGGAGAGTGTGAGGAGGGTCTGTTAATGGATCGAATAGGGCGAGAAAGCAGGATTGGAGATATCTCATTTTTAGTTGTACATGTTCATGTTGTACAACTGATGTCATAGAGGCCACTGTGCCCAGAACCCGTTGTACTGTTATAGCGGGTATTAAGGCATGAGGGGTGAAAGCCTTAAGCAAGGTGATCACATTTTGTCTCTTGTCCATAGGGAGAAAGGCGTGGGCTCGTATGGAATCTATGAGTGTACAGTTCTTGCAGGTTTTAAACTTGATTTCTGTTCGCTGACAGTAAGACAGAGATCACGAAGGACAGCGAGGGTGAAATAGGTGTCTCGTCAAGCTTTGTGACGGGAGTATGCTACTAGGAGCCAGTTGTCGATATATGGAAAGGTGAGAATTTTTTGGAGTCTGAGGTAAGCGGCTACCGGTGCCATAAAATTGGCGAATACTCTTGGAGCTTCTGCAAGGCCGAATGGGAGGCTTTTGAATTGGTAAGCTTGCGATCCTAGTTGAAAACGGAGGAATTTTCTGTGTGGGGGATGTATTGAAATATGAAAGTAAGCATCCCTTAGGTCTGTGATGGTGAACCAGTTGTTCTTTCGAAGTAAGGGAAGAACAGATTCTAGGGTAACCATACGGAATTTTGTGGCAACAATGTATTCGTTTAGCCGTCTCAAATCTAAAAAAAGGCAAAGCCCCCCGTCCTTTTTGGGGATGGTGAAATAGCAAGAGAAAAACCCGTTGTTTTGATAGGCGGGTTGTATGGCGTCTTTGAGAAGTAAATTTATTATCTCTTCTTGCAGAGGTTGTGAAGGTGGAGTGATGACATGTGTTGCCAGAGGATTGTTGAAGAGACAAATGTGGTAGCCATTTTTGATGATAGATGGTACCCAGGCATCTGTGGTGATGGATTCCCACACAGGTAAGTGTTTCCAAAGGGCAGGGTTGGTGGGTTGGGTTGTGATCTCGGTCAGAGGAGCATCAAACATGGTGTTTGGGTTTCCGGTCGTTTCGCCTAATGCTAGGTTGTTGCCGGGGGTTGGCTCTTTGATTTTTGAAGTAGGGAGTGTAAGATGTTTGTCTTGGAGGGATCTTGTTGGAACTTCTGGCAAGAGTTATAGGGTCGTTTCCATTGATTTTGTTGAGGACGTTGCTGATAGGAAGGGTAGACTCTCCAACGTCTAGCTGCTGATCGTTTCTTTTGTATGTTTTCTAGTATGTCATCAGTTTCAGAATGAAAGAGGTGTGCCCCATTGAAGGGGGGCGATACGTGCACGGGGGTCTTCAGCTAGGCTGACTGTTCTGAGCCAGGAAAAACGGCGTAGGGCTCCTGAAGTGGCGATAGACGTCGCTGTAGCAACTACAGTGTGACGGGCAGAGAGCATCTGTTGCTTTGCAATGGAAAGTCCTTCTTGCTGGAAAGTTTGGGCTAGTATCTTTTTATCCTGTGGTAGGGATTCAATAAAAGTAGACATATTATCCCAAATTAAGTGGCTCCCATGGCTCCTTGATAATTAGTGACTCTCATGGTGAAGGCTGCAGAAGAGTAGAGCCATCTGCCCATACAGTCTATTCACCGACTGTCTTTATTTGGTGGTATGAGAGATTGTCGGTGTCGAGATCTCGATTATGAGGCTTCGACAAATACAGAATTTGGAGCAGGTTGTTTCTGGAGAAAAATGGCTCCTGGGTCATGAACTCTATAGAGATTATCGATCCATTTAGACATCGTATGGGAGGAGGCTGGTTTTGTCCAGGATGGTTGTGCAGTGCTAAGGAGGGATGGTAACATTAATATGTGTACTGGAGTAGTTGTGTCCTTAGAGATTGGATAGTATGATCAGCTGGTTCTGTTGATGGACAGTGGACTTGGAGATCGAGGGACTTAGCCATACGAATCATAAGTTGGGCATAAGTCTGGAAATCCTCTGCTGGTGACAGTGAGTTGGTATTGACAATGTCAGACTCTGGGGAAGTGAGTACTACCGATGGAGTCTGCAGTCGAGATCCACGGTCAGAGCATTTGAGGTCGTGTCTGGAGTCAACCGACTGTCGATTGACTTCGGTGTCGAGAGGCTGGAGTTCATAGTATTGCTTGTTATGACCAGAGATAGATGGAGGCGGCATGTCCATGGACATCCGTCGGTGTCGAGAGTCGTTGACATCGAAGGAGCGCATTTGAGTGTCCATGGATCTTGTCTGGTGCAGATGGACCTCGGTGTCGAGCCCGGTATTGTAACGGTGTCAGGGTTGATGGCTTGGATTCACCGGAGGATGGGGATCCTGTGGAGGTAACGGGATGGAGCAGGTGTCCATGGACCAGGGCGGATGTCGAGGATCGTCAGTATCAGAGCCTGTGTCCCTGTGGTGTCTAAATGGAGGTTGCTGATGTGATGGCACAGCAGTAGAATATACGGACACTGGCGATGCCAAGCATGAAGAATGATTTCCATCTCCTGGTCTGGTAGGAAAGTATTGGGAAGCTGGGGCTGTAAAAGCCTCACAAGTGGAAGAGAATTCCTCAACTGTTCTGGGCTTTTTCAGTGCCAGGTAGGGAGCAAGTTGAGGTACAGTAGTGTCCTCGTGGTATGGCCGTTTCAACAGTGATGGCTGTCAAGAGGGAGGCTGGCTGCTAGATGGTACCATGGAAGCAGGTAAAATGCCCGGTCGGCTGGTAGGTGCAGCTTGTCAAAAAGAGCACTGGTCGGGGCAAATGGCAACCTGATGAGCGTGTTGAGCGTGGGTCTGAGCCACACGTAATGGAGCTGGCTGTTGAGGTTGTTGTTGTCGATGTCTCTGCTTAGGGATCACTGGGCGGTCCAACGGCACCAAGTAGGGAAGGGTGTAGAGTCCTTCGGGATGGAGGCCCTCGGGTGAAGTAACAACCGAGGGGTTGCTCGATGGAATAGAAGGTTGTGGACTGGGAGGAGAGGACGTTAGACAGTCAACTCTGTCATCCCATTCTGGTGATGGAGAACATGGTTGATGGGATGGGAGTCTGTCATCATCAGAGGGAAAACCAACCTCAGAGAGTTGTTGAGGCTGTGGAGGGATGACCACAGGCTTAGACTGTTTGACTCTTTTTGGAGGAGAAGGTTCTGGGGCTGAAGAAGCTTCGGTAAGTCTTTGATGTTTAGTGGAAGTTTTCGATGCCGAAGTTTCAATGTGTGTCTTAGAGGTCTTGGACGATGTAGATGGAGCATCGGAGTGAGATGGTGTAGCTGCCGAACATTGTTTTGATGATTAGGTAACAGCTTTTTCCATCACTTTGGTTTGAGAAGTGGCCTTACACGGAGATTGGGCCATTTTAACTGGTTGCAAGGATTGCGGGACCGGAGAACTCCACATTTGAATTTCTTGCAATGGGTACAGGAGGAGATGTTCTTCTCCTAAACAGAAAGGGCACTTAGCGTGTCCGTCGGAAAGCGGAATTTTATTTTCACAGACGATGCAGTGCTTAAATGGGCCCAAAAGTGCCATGAATTTAGAGAAAAACAATTTAAGAAAAAATTGGGGGGGGGGGGGGGG